GCATTGGAAGTGAGAGAAAGATGAAAAGAACGTTCCTGTTAACAATATAAAAAAAAACTAAATATACGATTTAACGCGAAATTTTTAAAGTAATGTAATTATTAATTTATATATTATTAAATAAACTAATAAAAAACCATACCATCCTTTAATCAGTCCATGTTTAGTCCCTAGCTTATACAGTTTATTTATTTTTTTCAACAACTAAACATACAATATTTCATGTATCTGTATAGGCGCTCTGTAGACTTTTGGGACAGCCATTATCACACTGAAAAAAATATTCTGTTAAGATAATCAAAATATAGTAATAATCTATACATAAGTATCACCATTGCTTATTACCTTGTATTTTTCTCATAATATATGAATCGACRYGCCACACCATTTTTTTTAGTAGGCGATTCGAGTGTGAAAAACGCGCGACAAGCGTAAAAATGATGTGATACTTTGATTCGTATAAGAATTTTGCAAAAATATAACTTGGATGTTTATATTTACATTTAAGATAATGTTCTAAAAATAAGTTGAATAAACTCAGATTTTGAAGACAGAAAATAATTTCAAAAAAATCTTCAATGGGTCTGAGTGCGCACATAATACTATAGTTACCTCAACCATTATAGAAACACCCTGTATATATAGATTAAATTGTTCAAGTATATACTCTATAGATAGTCGGAATATTCATAGACGCAATCACAGTTTTTGATTTGAAGGTGTTTTACATATTTAAACGAAACAGATAGACCCATGTATAGGCCGTATAGGTTATAGTTTTGAAATCCAGAATTAATACAATGATAGTATAAAGGTATATAACATATAATACTATATTTGTTGCAGTCTATATTAAAAATCAATATTTTAGATATAAATTTAATTTATAATATAATTTTGCAAAAATCTATAAACACTTGTTTTTAATTTTAAACTGTATATTCTACGAATTTCAAAAATACTCTTACGGCTGATTTTCAACCCCTTCAAATATCAATAACGTCAAATTCAACGAACCAAACACAAATCCAATAAACAGACAACTGTTGTATATAAATACGGTTAAATGGTTATTGTTATGTTCAGTCCCTTCCCTATTGTATAAATAGGGATATTTGGTATAAACTATAATAATATTATATATTGTATATATATTATATTATCACTGTATATATAGGTATATTTTTGTTATTTTAAATTCTAAACATAGGTACTATTATCAATTTTAACTATAACTTAAACGAAAGTAATTGAACTGAATTTGACGATGAGTAAATTTATAATTATCAGACATATAT